TTAAAAAGGACTGCCTCCTGAATATTTATCACCCATGATCTAACTTCCTTCAATATATATTGAATGTTTATATAATATCTCAGTGTATATAAGTTTACAAAATGCCTTTTATTTTTTTTTTTTTTTGTGTGTGATACCTTATTTATATATTCGAGTAATAAAAAAATTGCAAAAGCATCTGTCTGAAAGAATCAGATAATCTAGAAATTTCTAAAAAAGGGGTATCTATCCTTGATAATTCAATATCTGAAAAATAGGTTGCCAGGGATCTGTCTGAGCAACATTTGATGTCAATGTTATTTAATAATAATAATAAGGCTTAGCGAACCCGAAGGTTCGATGCCGACACCACCAATCGCTTGTTACACACCTCCCTCCACCGTTCGCCGTCCAAACCCAGTCCCTTCAGATCGGCTTTAATGCAATCTTCCCACCTTCGCTTCGGTCTACCCCTCGGACGCTTACCATTCGGCACAGCAAATATTAACCTTTTAGGAATTCTCTCGTTACTAAGCCCAACAACTTTACAAGCCAATTTGATTCGCCGCGATGAAATTACATCAATTATATTACGCGGATACAGCTCACGCAATTGGGCGTTGTGTAACCGTCTGAACTCTCCGGTTAACTCATCCTTCTTCGGTCCGAATATTCTACGCAATACTTTATTTTCAAGAACCTTAAGACGCTGCTCATCCCTTAATGTAAGCGGCCAAGTTTCGCATCCATAAAGAACTGTAGGCAAGATAATTGTTTTATAGATTCTAATTTTTAAGTTCCGGGACAAGAGGCGCGAACTAAGTAGTTTTGTCACAGAAAAATAACAAGCATTTCCCGCCTTCAGTCTAACCTTAATCTCTTCTTCAATTTCGTTTTTTCTAGTTATCGTTGAACCTAGATACCTAAATTTATCTACCTGTTCAAACATAATACCATCTATATCAATGTCACCAGTAGTATCGCCATTTTTGCAGCTAACCATATATTTTGTTTTATCCACGTTTATTTCGAGTCCTAGTTCTTTCCCGGCTTTCATTAACGTTGTCGTATTTAGTTTTATAGTTTCAACGTCTTCGCTTAACAGTACCAGATCATCAGCATAGCCCAGCACGGATGTTGTCCCGCCCAGATCCAACCCTTTCTCGGTTCGCATTACCTCCCTAATGGCATGTTCTAATGCCAAATTGAATAAGACAGGCGAAAGAGAATCCCCCTGTTTTAAACCCGAACGAACCTCAAATTTTTCGGACAAATTATTACCGATTCTAACTTTATTGAGTGTCTCCGTCAAGCACATCCTGACTAGATTTACTAGTTTTTTTGGAATCCCCTGCTCAATTAGAATATTATACAGTTTCTGGCGGTCAATAGAATCGTAAGCCTTTTTAAAATCTATATACAGCAGGTGAACAATACCGTTATACTCCAATTTTTTCTCTAATATTTGCCGTAAAGAAAATATTTGATCAATAGTCGAACGATTCCGTCTAAATCCGCATTGGTAGTCTCCGATAATTTCCTCGGTGTATTCCGTGATTCGACTGGTTAAGATTGAAGTGAATATTTTATAACATACCGGAAGGAGTGAAATTCCTCGATAGTTATTACAATCCGTCCTCGGACCCTTTTTGTGAATTGGAATAAGAATAGATTCTTTCCATTCTTTATTTATTTATATTCTTTATTTCCATTCTTTATTCCAATGTTATTTAGCTCTACTTAATTATGCAGAGATCAGAATGTATTAATAAGACTTCAACACCCAACTATTTTTGCAAATCTGAAAACTATGTTCGGACTTTTGAGGTTTGGACTGGGAAACCTCTATTGCAGCTGTAGAAGTGTAGTGCTTATAATTACAAGGGAAGCCAATCCTCATAATTGTAGTTTAAGTTCATTTCTAAAATAAGTCAGCCAATAATATATTGGTCCTCTAGGTTTCAAGCTTCAGACTTTCGTTATTTTTACATAATTTTATGAGGATATAAAATAAGTTCTAATCTACACAAATTAATTTGAAGAAATACTAAATTTTTTTCATGGCTCATCTCGCCATTTAGTGACCAATTACCATCTACTTAATAAATAGCTGTATCTAAGTATCAACATATTATACATGAAAGAAAATTTCTAAAAGGAATTTTTATCCTACTACCTCTTTAAAAATAATATAAGGTCTTAAAAAGAGTTGAGTACTAAAGAAGTTTTTTGGTATTTTTATTGATGCGGGTATTCTTAGAGGTAATCTTGGACAATCTGTATAATCAAGGCTCTATTAGTTTTGAGTTAATAGATCTGTTGTGTCCCAGGTATAAGAGAAGCATATATGATTAAATTAGGTGTATGCTGACTATTTGCAGTTACAAATGTATTCTACATGAATAAATTATGTAAATTTATGACCATATATATTCATATTATTTTATAATACAGGTAGAATGTATAGGAGTGGAAAGTCTACCACCTATCACTTTTACTATCAATAATAAAGATTATATTTTTCAAGGTGACGAATACATAATGAAGGTATGTATTTTTTTTTTCAATTGTTCCAACTAAATATTCAATGCGCTAACCATTTTTTCAATTTGTTTTATTCTATTAATTAAATATTCTTTTCTACTCTTAGTTCAGTTCAGGATCAGAGAAGCCAGTGTGTATCTCAGGATTCATTGGAACAGACATGGGTGATGATTTGGAATGGATTCTTGGTGATGTGTTCTTAGCAAAGTATTACACCATTTTTGATGTGGGGAAGAAGAGGATTGGTTTTGCAAATCTAAAATCAAATTATTATAAATGAGGGTACAGTTAATATAAAAATAAATTATTAAAGACCTTAACTTATATATTAATGGATTTTGATGCTAATATAAGTAAAAGTATTCAGAATAATGTAAAAAAAAACTTTTGAAGTACAAACCTCCCAAATAAATGTTAAAAGAACTTTGTCGTTTTGATTTTATAATTTATATTAACATAAATTTTGCTATGAAGTAGTTTTATTTCTTATCTAGATTTCGAAATTTATCATTGTGATAAGGATAAAAAAATAATAATTAATGGTGTCTCTATTCTTATGCTGTTTATTTATGTAGTTTACACATTTAAATACAAAAAAATTAAGTAACATCACATATTTGTATATACAAATCAATTAAAACAAATCTCAACCAATTTACACTTTTTTTTATAAAAAAGTAACATAAATTACATTAATCACAAAAATGCATTAAAAACAATTTATCTCTTTAATAGAAAATAAATTGAATATTACTAAATAAATACATGACAAAAATCTAATGAACAAAAATTTTACAAGGAAATTTCGTAATAATAATGTTAAGCAAGTTACTTTTGATTATAAATATAGTTAGATTTGTTTATGCTAAAATTAGAATTATCACCAAGTACATTCATTTTATTTAAAGAGCAACTACTTCTACGAAGCACATCATAATTTAAAAAACTAAATATCAACATTTACAAGACCTATGTTTTTTTATTAACAAACAAGGTGGTTTTTTAACATCTATTTTATACCAACAAACAATAAATACATTCTTCTCAAATAATAGTGGTTCCTTAAGTGTAGAACATATGGTAAGTCTAAAAATCTTTATTGATGGGATACATTTTTACAACTTTACATCTATATTCATACAACCAGCTATGAGGCCTCGTGTCCACTAGATGCATAAAGTATGCAAAAACCATTACACTACAGTGATCCAACTTATCACTGCCAGGGGTGCCTAGAAGGGGGTTTTATGGCGCAAGTTGTGCCATCAAAATTTTTGAGAGGGTCATACTTTGACGAGTTTTGGAATTTTTGAGGGGGGCACATTTCAACGAGTTATGAATTTTCGAAATGAAAAGTTTCAGAATAAGTGACAAGGAGAAAACATGGAGCAGACCGATGATCTACAAATTTTATAATTCTAATTTCCTTTACTCTGTTTTTAAGAAATGTTATCAATTAAAATCTTGGAAGAGAGGGATAGGTTCTTGCGCCATCGACCTTGGGGGAGGATAGGCACTCCTGATCACTGTCATATGGTTTACACCTTTAGTGGAAATGTGGCCTAATGTAACTAGTCCTAATGAATTAGTTATATTTTATGCTATCAAGGAAGAATTCAACTTCTTATTATATCGAGAATAAATAAAGGTTAAGGAACCACCGATATATAGCAATAACATTTACACTAATACTACTGTTTCTGAAATAAATCCTATATGTTAATAGAAAAATTTAAGAAAATAGTTTAGAGTGAAAATATAAAATGAACAATCTATCAGCACCATCTTCAAAATACTGCACATACTTCAAAATATTGTTAAAGTACTCAAAACCCTTTCATCTTTGGCATAGTTCATTAAACCTATAAATAAATTATTCCTAAGCTTAAAATTTAAGAAACTCTAATGTAACACAATTACATACAATTTTCATTTCATTTATCACAATCATACACACCATTTCTCCAGTAATTAAAATTATATGAAACAATAATTTTTGCTTTCTGGAACATCATAAATAGGTACTTATTACTGACCTATTACTTTCATCAATATAACAGGTAAAATGAAATATAATTTTCAAAAGTTAACCTAAAAATTTGAAAGTAGGAACTTTAATCAATATATTTTAAAAACATCTTTAAGATTAGACGAATATGCAAAAAAAAAAAAAAAAAAAAAAACTGTTATGGAATCACAGCTAATTGATAACATCAGTTATTAAATATAAAGAACAATTAACTGTGATTCTTTTATGATCACATATTATTTTTTTCTGAAAATTAAATAGCTATATCAGCCTATTTTTATTTTGTTCATATTGAAAGCAACCTTTCTTTCAAAGTTATTAAATATACATATCATCTATTTCATTCGTCTAAAGCAATGTTAATCTCTGAGAAGAGACCCGAAATATGCTCCAAGTTATGGAACAATGAAAGTAACTTTAAAGAAATAAAAGCTTGTTTTGAATGCTCTTAAGTTTGCCCAATATCTTCAACTAAGCCTCCTGTCTCGGGAAGAAGTAAAACAGCTGCGCCTCCTAGCACACCACAGAGCCCCAGGACAGCCATAGGCATATTTTCATTCATTCCAGCCTAAAAACAAAACAAAAACTCTATAACTAAAGTAAATAAAGGTCACATAAAAAAAAGAAGGAGGCTTCAAAACTCCTACGTTGATAAGTCGATGGATCAAGACAGACAAATTTTGTTTTAAAGATTTCAATATGGACATGAAGACCCAGTATAGTTTCTTTAGAACTATTCCAAATTTCTGAGCCTTTAAACATGAAAGTGTACAATTTTTGAGAAAAGCGTTTTTGATAACATATTTTTTAAATCAATGAAAATGTTTTCTTAATATCTCTAAAAGTATTTAAAGAGAGTTGCTGAGGCATTTCCAAGGTTTCAGTAATCCTAAGTTGGAATTAATATTTGAAAAATATAATCGAATAGAAAAGAAAAACAAATGAGTTCACATTTGGACTGCCAACTAATTGATGGTTAATTATAACTACCCAATTTTTTTAAATACAAAATAGTTTCCAATGTTTTTAAAAAACAGCTAAACTTTAAAAATGGTTCTTTGCATTTTTTTTTTATGACACTTATTTTTACTAAGAGACTATCACAATAATAAATATAAAAAAATTATAACGAACCATATTCCAGAGATAGGGCACCAATATTAAGGCAACACCCGCTGGAGCATTGGAAGATCCTACGCCAAGGTTTCTCATAGATGTTGGAAACAGTTCAGCTGTGAATACTGGCATTACAACATTTGAAGAACTAATGCAAAGTCGTCCAACCATAGCAAGAGCCAAACGAAGCCAGTCATCTATTTGTAACAGGTGTAATAATTAATAATAATAAAATAGGTGTAATAATTAATGATAATAAAAAAAATTAAATAATGATAAAAGTTTTATTCGAATCACATATCAGAGTTCAGCAGAAACACATCTTTAAAATTCATTTTTGTGTTAATAATACTGTTAAGTTATGAGTAAATCTGATAACCTTCTGAAATAATAGTTTATTTCTAATGAAGATGGAAAAAGAGAGATATATTTGCCTACATTCCTCCCTTTCCACTTTTTCCTCTCTTGAGCTATAGTTAGACCTTATCATTTATTTTGTTTAATTATCTAAAAATGCTTTTTGAATACTGATTTATAAAATTTCTTAAGTGATAAAAGTATAATGGTAGAGTACTGTCAAGAGTTATTTATATCTTTAACATTGCAAAAAAAATTATAAATAATTACTTTTGAATATGGATATTGCCAAGAATATTCAGTTTTCAACTTATGATTATTATTTCTTATTAATATATTGTACCATTTTTGACAACAACAGTCATTAAGCAAGCTATTCCAGCCCCCGCTGTTGTTAGTGAGAGAGGCCATCTTCTCCCCATTTTCAAAAGAAATAAAATACTGACTGCTATAGCAGGAAACTCAACTGCACCTGTGAAAAAATAATAAATAATGATTTATTTTTAAATATAATTTTACAATTATAGTAAATTTATCGGCATATTTTTTATTTATTTTTTTCCTGGCTGAAGAATTATCAGCATAATACCAAATTATTAATATAAAAAAATCTATTAAATTATTTACGGTAAATAAATGATTTGCAGACCATGAATGACCTGAACTATGTAATCCCTTATGGAAATACTTAAAATTTAAAAGACTAAAGAACTATTTCTCTTTTAGATTGAATATTTAATGGTTGACCGTTGCATTATAAAGGAAGGAGATGGTCCGGGGTTGCGGTCATAAAAAGACTAAATAGTGGTAAAACTATTTTATTGAAAGCCAACATTTCGACCCGACTTTGCAGGTCTTCTAGGAGTTTCACTTAGAACTCAGTTCTAAGTGAAACTCCTAGAGGAACACACCTCCCTGATGAAGACCTGCAAAGTCGGGTCGAAATGTTGGCTTTCAATAAAATAGTTTTACCACTATTTAGCCTTTTTATGACCGCAACCCCGGACCATCTCCTTATTTATTTCTCTTTTAATTTCAATATCCATTAAATTATCATTAAGAAAATATTATTTAATTATAATAGTTAAAACAATTGTATAAAAATATTTGATAAACTAAATTACCTGATATAATTGAATTTACATAAACATCACCACCAAGATTAGAAAGATTCAAAACCAACCCATAGTATACAAGGTAGACACAAAACCATACAACATATAAAAGTAATGAGATTTTTCTCATGTAGGCTGTCCTAAACAAATCCAGAGCTCCCACCTTTGGTGGCTGCTCACCACTTCGTGCCATGCTCTAAAAAATAAGAAAAGGAGAATTATTATATGATTTTAATAACAAATATTTAAATATACATATTTTAACTATTAAAATGTAGGTATTTATCATTGTATATTTATATGGGACCACCCTGCAGGTATACCACTATAGTTTTAAATAAAGAATCCAAAAAGAATCGCAGATATCGGTTCAAGAATGGCGAAGTTATTAAAAAAATATCTAATTGAGAATTTTTTTTTCTCAAAGTAAATCAAAAATAGTTTGCATAATAAATGTCTATGTTTGACCAAAGAACATTAGTTTTCCCAATGACATTATAAAGATTTTAAGGATAACATTAAAAATAGGACCTTCATTTATTTTATGTAAATTTCAAAACCAGGTGACTATTCAGTAGTCATATCCTCACATTACTGAACAATGAATTTGAAAAAAATAAATCAAAATTTGTTTTGAGTTATAACCAATTACCTGTTTGATTATTTTATCAGCATTTCCTGGAAGTTCTTTGCCGTTGAACCTAGCAGCTTTTTTAAGTACACTTATGACTCTTTCTCCTTGACACATCGTCAAAAGCCACCTAGGAGATTCAGGAAGAACCCTGTAACAGATAATAGTAAAATCAAATTTGAGTAAATAAATTGATCTAACAATACATAATATTTAACTGATTGGAAGGAGATTCTAATAAAAATAAAAAGGCATCAAGTTTTAAAAGAAGGGAAAACAGAAATAATAGGGAGATAATATAATTAAAATTTTAATAAAGTATCTTTCCAGAAATATTCTTCATAATTTTAAAACAATGTTGTTGTATTTCATCTTAGAAGAAAAAAAAATACAAACTATTACAAAACATCTTTTGAATAGCATTTTTTAACAAAACCAATGATTTACTGTTTTAAATTCAAGAATAAAATTTTAATAGAGAACATATTGTATATATAGACATATACAAATAACTCCCATTAGGCAAAAAGGACTCCCATTTACCACACTTCTTGCCACACCTTTACCAGATCCAGTACATATAATTTCAGATAAAATAATTTTTACCAAAAGAAACATTATCAGTAAGATGAAGTTGATCTGATAAGATGAAGTTGTAAGTTGATAAAAAATAAAAAATAAATCTTAAAAAATTAACGTGTTATACCTTAGAAAAAATTAGGAAACCATAAACACGAAATTGCATTTTTTTTTTTCAGTAATTTGATATTTGCCCATATTTTATTTTTAATGTTTGACTGCAATTTTACAGAATAAAAAAATAATTACATATAACTAATAAAAGACTTTAAAATGAAAATTTAAGAAAAGAAACCTCAAGTATGTATTTACATATCGTTGGTTAAAGTTAAAAGTGACCAACAAATGTTTTTATGATGATGAGGTTGTCTGCTATCTACATGTTCTTGAAACTTGAAGTCACTTCTTTTTTAGTTTATGTCCCCAAAGATCCTTTTCAGATTGTAAAACAACTAAATAATTTTTTGTTTTAAAAGTTTATAATTAGTATAAGTATTTATTATGTAAATGTAACGAAATACGTGTTAATGCAATTTTATCCAAAAAATCTTTTTTTTGAAAAATCATCTTTATTCTGGTACTAGGTCCCTTAAGAATAACAGTATTATTCATATAAATTAACAATAAATCTGGCCAAAAGATCTATTACAAGAAAGAATACCTAAAATATAAGTATAACTTATTACACTTACTAAAATTATTTTAATAATCCTGAGAGAGACCTGATCCTATCCAACTCGAATTATGAAGACTTGACAGTCAAATGTAAATGTATTGATGTTTATTCACATTTCTTTTTCTTTTTATTATGATTATTTTCTTTTAAGTGAACCATTTTTGTAAAATCTACACACTATTAAATTTAGGTAAGCTTTAATGATTTATTTATGTGTGCATATGTTTATTGTTTGTTTTATACATATATATATATATTGAATCACATACCACCATAAAGGAAGAAATGCGAGAGCAGGTAAAGTTATCGCCAGCTGTAATGATCTCCAACCTTTAATGAAATAAGCTATCCCAGAGATAGTTATATATCCAAGTGGCAATGGGAACAAGTAGGAAACACCTGAGATGGTCAGCCATTTTCCTCCAACCAGCTCCATGCCTGTTTGACATATTATAATAATCAGATTGTTGAATATTAAAAATTATCATTTATAAATAAATAAATATCTATATACATGTTCTCATAAAAAAATTAGCAGTTATGGTCTTTGCAAATTAAGTAATGCACTATTAGCTTTCTTTTAAAATGAAAATAAAGCGCAAATTTCAATCTATAAGAACTCTAAAATAAACCCATCTCTGTCGCTTGTGATCCTGAAACTAAGAGTCACTTGAAAGTTCGTGCCTGTATAAAGAATCAATCATTACTCAGGAATTTAAATTGTAAGAAATTTAAGTTGCTCTTCTATTCAAGTTTTTTATGAGGATTGTGGAAAAAAAATCAGTTCATGATTTCATGAGGGAGGAAACATAGCAAATTGCTTAAATTCTTCATAACTTCATCAAAGATACCCAAATATTAGAGCCTAACCAAACAAGCTAGAAAGGTGAGAACCCCATCAGAGAGAGAGAGGAAGAACCGAAAGACAGGAACAAATTTCGTTTCATCTTTGCAATTCACCTGGTTAATTTGTGGAATTTCGCATGATTTGAAACTTATATACTTTTTATTGGCATTCTTTTTTTTTTAAAAAAAAAAAAAAAAAGTATAATCATCTCTAACACTTGTTTTACTTAGAATATTTTTTCTTCTTTGTTAACAAGTGTTTTAAATCAAATTTTTACAAATACTGCGATTTAAAAAAAACCTCCAATATCCTCTGGAAAATTGATTTCTTACAACTTTTTAGCTGTCAATGTTAAAGATAAATATGTATTAATTTAAACCACCATGGTCCACCTGAAGGTATTTAAAATTATTTTTGTATGTATAAATGTTCGAACAATTTCTAGGTATGTACTAATATCGCCCATAACTAGACATGCTCTCAAATTTAGATTTAAGTATTGTATTGAACATAAAGAAAATAAGGTTATGTAGTTATTTGTTTCGAAAAATATTTCAAACAGAAACAATAAAAATAAAATTACATTAAATATTAAATCTTTGTTTTCATTTTTTTTTAATTTTAATTTTGTTTACCAAGATAAGAAATGAACTTTTATATTATTCTTTTAACTGTATATAACCATCCTTTATTTTGGCACTAAACTAAATCAATAGACAAACACAACAACGTTAAATGAACTAAAGTTTAAAATTAAATAAAAGGTGTGGTCAAGACGGCCTCAAGGAAAAAAACAAATTTTATTTACTTGTTCCACTAAGATTACTGTGTGTTTGTAATAAAATATAATTGTTTTCAATCTCTAACCCTTATTCTTTTTAAATTTTGTTATAATTTCATAACGGTAAATTGAATCTAAGAGTATTTGGTTGAACTTTTATGACTTGATCTGGAGCAGTTGTTTTTAATATAATCTTTAAAATGATTGAAAAATTACATATTTTTTTCATTGGAAAATGTGAGGAAATATTAATGGTGTTCAAAATATTATAATCGATGATTTTTTGTAATAAAAATAAAATAAAGCATATATTATTTCATAAGAACTATTATATAATGAATATTTATAATTAATAAACGATACATCTTTTATGTTATTACATATACATATATTATAATTATATTTAATAATTTATTGTGTATTTAAAATTTAAAAAAATACGGTTATATGTAATATTATGGACAGTAGTTATAAATTGGTGTCTAAAATTATGTTTTAAATCATTTTCTAAGTTAATTTATTGTCAAATTTAAAAATTCTCAGGTTTAAACAAAGGGATTTTATTGTTTTTTGTGGAAATTTTGACATCATATTCGTGTTCCTTGGCCTTGAAAACATTAGTGTACTAAATATCAAGTTAAATTGACATCATTAACGAGTTCTACATCCATGTCCACAAAAATCTGTCTTTCATTTCACTGTGGTGTGGGCAACCGGGCAATTGCTCTGGAACGCCAGGCCGATCTACACTTGTTACCACCGATACGGTGCTTACAACTTGTTAGAAATTGAAAAAAAAATAAAAAGCATATTCAAATAATTAATTTTAGCCTACCAATAAAGCAACTCTATTAGAGAAATATTGAATGAAATAAAATTCAAGTATTACATAATATAAAGATCTTAAGAATTGAATTTGAATTTTTTTTTTGGGGGGGGGGGAGGAAGAGGAGAGAGGAGAGATAACATCATTGCCTGGGGCTGAATGTCTAATGACGACACCGTGCACTCTCACATTGATGAGTGGATGCTTTGGGCAAGAAGAGTAATTTTCATTCTATTTTTAACTAGATTATTAGAATTTATGAAGTCAACTAAGAAAATAAGGAGGAAAGAGAGAGATGTAAAAATTGATATTCTGAAACATCTATTAATTCAACACTATTATTTTATGAAAAAATAAGTTAATTTTCTATTTTACAAGAACAAAAATTTATACTATATTTTAAAAATTATTATTTTGTTCATTCTTGATATTAATAGGAACTGATGAAGTTAATTATAATTATAAGTTTTTTCTTATGCTTTTGGTTAGGACCTTGTTCTACTGTTTTTTAAAGAGTTATCTCTTAGAAAGAAGTTTCATATACAATCAGTATAAAGAATGCATGTAGGTATAATATATAAATGATATTATAAATGATATAATAAAATATAAATTTGACATAGACCATTGTATCATAATATGCTAATTTCCTGTACATAAACAATAACATTAACATTAATAAATCTTAAGTAGTGTCTACTTCATATTAATATAGGTATAGTTGTTTGTTGAACTAAAGAATTTTTTAAGAAATTCAAAGAAGCATCACTAACTAATATAAGATACTTACAGAGAACAAAGCCAGAGAAAACCACACTGACTGAAAAGATGCCCAAGATAAATCTGAATACTAAGTATAGAGAGTACCAAGGAGTAAAAGCTATGGCCACACCGATCATTATCTGGACTAATAGTGACACCATCAAAGTTTTTTTCCTTCCAAATCTAAGGAGAGATGAACAAAAATTATTATTACAAAATAAAATAAAACCTATAGAACACATCTTCTTTGCTACAAAAATTATGGAATTGCAAAATGTGAACCATATTTAAAATTAATAAATTTGGTTGTCATTTCGATTAAATAATTCCAAGCAATTAATAGATGAATTATAAAAAAAAAATAAATAAAACTATATATCAACAGCATAATTATGAAATTTGATTCCTAACAAGATAAGTTATATATTCCAGAAGTTCTGAAATAACTGTTAGCCAATTCAGTAATAAGAAATTTAATTATTGTTTCTTTGCAAAAAAGTTTTAAACAATATATAGTAAAAGTACCAACAGAAGATTATTTTTTAATGATTTGTAATTTTAAAAGAAAAGCTATGAAATAAAGATTAATTACTTGTCAGAAAATAGTCCACAGGCAAATCCACCAATAGCTACTCCAAGCAGAAACATCATTTCAGCAATATTGCTCAGCTGTTCTCGCTCACAAACCAAGTTCCACTGTGAAAAAAACAAAAGTCTTTTCTTAGTATTAAAATATACCCCTTTACTAACAACATCCTTCTCTATCTTCTTGCTCTTCTTAATGACAGAGCCATTTAGGAGGGAAATTTTAGAGCAGTAATAGTTGAAGAGACAATTTCTTTTACAAAATTTCTTATGTCAAAGATTTAAGAAGTAAAAATTTCAATATTTTTTTTAATAAATGAACTCTGCAATATTTTTCAATAATAAATATTATTATATTTTTTAAAAGTTTATTATTTTTCACATGAGTCGTGTTTTGATTATGATATTTTGTATTATCATTACAAACTAATTCACTATGGAATAATATATATTTTCAATAATTTTTTAATGAAATAAATTGGTTTTGAAAATTTAAATATACACAGTTGTTGAAAAAGAAAATTAAAATAGTAAATCAACATCGGAGATAACAAGTTTTTAATGAAGCATATATGTGACTACTACTAATATTAATTTATATTAAAAAATTATTATAACATTATTTGATCAAACAAAAAAAATTTAGTTTACTTTTAATCCAAAGAATTTTTAATATGGCTACTCGAACAACATAGATTTTTATGTAGATATAACTACAAATGTAAGTGCCTTAAAACTATTTAATAAAATGAAGCAAACATACTTCAGTGACAATGGTCTCTCCAAATTGTGAAGTGTCATAGTCCCAGGAAGAGCATGGCCTGGTATCATTTGGCTCAGTTCGGATTAATTCTTCATAACTGAGCCTGTAGTCCAAATTTTTAATCCTGCATCCATCTATCTTCAGCTTTCCGCCCTGAGAAATCAAAGAATAACTAACACATTTTTTGCAATAACTTTACCCTTAATTTGTATTTTTAGACTCGAATATATTATTATTTATTTAAATCAGAACAAATGAAATATAATTGAATGACTATCTGGTAACTAAAGAACACAATACCCACATCTATTTGCTATGCCATGGATGGAAATTCAATTTTCTTTACATTACATGGATTGTTAGACTCAATGATGCTTTAAAAATATATAAATAATAATATATATATGTGTACATATACATACATGTGATGATAAATATTTTATATTTCAATTTTTAAAATTAAATTGAAATTGAACCAATTAAAATTAAATTTATACCAGATATATACATATAATTATATATATATATATATATATATATATATATATATTATATATATATATATATATATATATATATATATATATATATATATATATATATATACATATCGTGTATTTCTCCCATGCCTGTATATTGCCCCATATGCCTTAATTAAAAAAATTTATCAGTCTTTGCTATTCAATAAATTTAAAGACTTTTTTCAGCTAAGCTCTAATGCTATTAGCAGATCTAGAAAAAATTGAAGGACATAGCGTGCCTAATATAGGGTGGAATTATGCAAAATAAATAATAATTGGAATTAAAGATAAATTCAGATATTCAATATTTTTCATTAATTTAAAATCTGCAATCTCATGTCAAGAAAATAGTATAACTAACCTGGTGAACTAACTAATGCATCACACTAGTAAACTACTTTTCACTATTGATAAACTACAATTTCTTTTAAGCTTAAGAGTAAGCACAACCACATCGAGGACTTACCACAATCCCTGTAACAGTGCTGACGTTGAGCCATTGATCTTGAGTGAGGGGGCTGTAGGATGGTTTGGCGCATCGGAAGTCCGCGGGGGCGGCTTCGAAGGTGGTGGCGAAGATGTGGAAGGTGCATGGAAAGTTGAACAAGGACAAGAGGAAGGTCATGAGGAGCTGCCACCGGCCGAACTCCCCGATGCACTGGGACACCGCATCTTCTCGTTCTGTCGCGGTCATCTTGTTTTCTCCGGGAAGGATTCTCTTCCTTTCTGCGAAAAAAACAAAACAAAAAAAAAGCATGTCAATAGTTGTAGAAGGAAGAATTATTTATAAAGTTAAAAATATTTGTTTCTTTTAAGAATGAAATAGTGAAACGATGTCATTATAAAAATAAAAGACAGATTCTACAAGTCAAACAATAAGTATTTTATAACTATAACTTAATAATTAGGTTAAGGAATATGAAAACCTTGGACAGGAAACAATGATTTTTACAAACTATGTCAAAAGCTAAGATATACTTCTATAAATGACGCTTCAGTTGTGAAATGAGCTATCTGAGAGAAAAAAGTCATGCTATGAGAGTTGTAGTAAGCTTGTGTTCGCTTGACTTACTAAAAGTTATATTTTGTAAATAATAATAAAAAAAAATTCGTAGGTAGTTTGGATCTAAGTTACCTAATAGCGATATTAGAGTTAAATCAATTTATTTATTTTATTTCTCTCCATAGCACATAGAAAACATAAAATTAAGAAACCAAAACACTAGCATGAGAAAAACCATATTTGTTTTTTCTCCATTGTTTGTGAAATGTCTAAACGCATCTTTAATTTTGAAAACAATCCTTATCTCTCAGCTACTCTCGGCCATCATCGAGTACGAATATGTCAATAATAAATTATGTAAAATAATGAAGAAAAGGAAGAGAAAAAGTTTTACAGTTTATATAATTTGATTTATTATTATTGAAGTTTTAATAACTATCTTTTAATGGATTAATACATTTTCTTCATCATTAATTGGAGAAAGTAAAATTAAAAAAAGAATGGGAAAATATTAGAATAAGAAATAAAAGAATAAAGTATTACAAGGGATTTATATCATTATGGGAAAACAAGAAAAAAAAAATATATCGTAACCATGACTGTGGTAATTGGAAATAAATGAAAGAGATATTGCATAAAAAATATCCGCCTATATTTTAAAATGTTTTTTATCTGACTGATTTTATTTAAATCATCATGTTTACCAACAGGAACAGTATGTCCAACGTTTGGCAATGGAAATGAACTTTCCGGCCTTCAACCATCGGTTTGTTATGATAGATGAAGAATTATATTTTTGAGTTATGGCTTGGACATGTCACCACAAAGCAGGGAATGATTAAAAGATAGCAAGTAGTGAAAGGTACCGAAGCCTTGACCAAGAAATATCTGACCCCGTCGTCTATTTTCATTTTTTTTTTGTTTTAAGTTATGCGTGGGGTTCTAGAAGCGATGCAATAAGGCCAAGGTGAACCAATCATTTGCCATTTACAGGACAACCTCTTGGGCTGCAACGAGTATTTCTAATTAAATTATATATCAACATCAACAAGACATCGAGAGTAAACAATACGGTGTGTTGCATTTCAAAACTCTCACTAACCATCATACTTTCAGTAGGAAATGTTTTTTTTTTTTAAACGTTAATAAGCCTTGAGTATATCACTTAAATTATTGATAAAAAGGATGAAAATTATGTGCACTATATATTTTTTGGTTCGTCACGATCAAAATAAATGTTCTAGTTTTCCATTTATTGAACATATTGATGAACTCAGCGGTGAGTTTAGAAACTTACCCAAGCTATCTCACTTTTAACAGAGGGAAACACTGAATCCGTTTAATTTAAACAGCTTTCCGAAACAGATACAGAAGCTGTTTAATTTAAACAGATACAGAAATTTGCTTCATGTAAATAGCTTCTTGCAACAGCTGCGTAAACAGTTTTCTGAAACAGATACAGAAAGCTGTTTAATTTAACCAGCTGTTTTAAATCCTATTAACTGTAATTCGACGAATAATAATACTTTTAGAGATTTTTTTCCCATAAAACATGATTATATTTTACCATTTTGGAGGGGAGGGGGCTTCAATTCAAAAAGACCCTCCCCCTCCTCCAGTAGATCCACCAGTGGCTTCCTGCAACAGATACTGAAATAACTCTCTGAAACAGATACAACTCTACTTTGTTTTAGACTATTTTCAAAACTGTTTCAATGAAACACCGGCCATCACACTATGCAACTACTAAGCAGCTGTGCAGTTTCTATTCAATGAACACTTTTATCAACTCATTTCCTTATTTAATTAATATTTCCATCAAATTATCTTTAAAATACGTTATGATATGGGATTATTTTAACAAGTAAATCTATAATTTATTTTGAGACAAAAATTATATTTATATCTTTTTTAGGTAACAGAAGACATTTGTTTACTCTCAAAGTTTTGAAACAGTTATATCTGTTTTTTTTTTTAAACAGTTTATTGAAAGTAGGACAAACTGTTGCAACTGCTACTCTTGATAAAAAGTTTTGCCCGTCACTAGTACATATACTTGTGAAGACATTATTAAAAACAATCACTAGCGGATCCAGGATTCAATTTTGGAGAAGGCTTCAGCCCGAAAGCTTTTTTTTTCATATATGTATAACGATAATTACTTTGGAAAAAAAAATAAAGATACTAACTACCTATATGAAATGGTGTTAAAGTGGTTCTAGAAGTCCTATTAAATGTAATTATACGAACAATAATACTTTAAGAAATAATTGTTAATATTTGTTTCCATAAAACATGGTTACCATGGGTAACTTTGGGACAGCGTGTAAAATTTAGTTTGTGGTGATTCCGTGGTGCATACAATGCGTTAGTTTAGTCTGCAAATACGTGCTTTGTGTAGGCATGTACTACATTGCGGCAGTTTGAGAACTCTAGCTTAATACAGTTAAAGTTTATTTATTTACATTGTTTTTTTCAAAATGATTGTTTCCATGAAACTTTCAATTGTGGCTCAAGTAGTGTTGCCCAAAATTGGTCTTGGTCTTGCAGTCTTGGTTTTGGTCTACAAAGAAAAGAAAATTGTTTTTGGGAACTAATTCACCACGTATACACCTATCGGTTTTAAACGTTTCTGACCGTTTTGAAGCCTACTTTTTAAAAGGTCGTTAAATTTCTGACAAAATTGTTGAAAAAAATAATCATCTGAAACGGACCAGTTTTAGCTGTTATAGTATATATTGTTTTTATACGCTGATTTTAATGGTGGCCCACTTGTCCGTTTACATTGCTTGTTTCATCTAAGGAATTTTACCCTAATGATTTCACTGATCGTTTTTTAGGAAAATGAATCTATTTCAATGGTTTTTTCTAATGGACACATTTAAAGTTGTATTTTTTTTTTAATATATAGGAAAGCCTTGTAAGAGGATACAATCGATTTTAAATTAAAATCGTTAGGAACAATATATAAATTGTCTTTACTCTACAACTCTTTCATTCCATATGATCGGAGGGATGGAGGAGGGTTAACACTATCTTTCTTTACTATGAATTTTATTGATTTAGTTGTACTTTATAATGTCAATAAAACATTTTATTGTAGTTATTTTGCAGCGTTTTTCTAAGATTTAAAGTACCATATTAATAAATAGCAATAAAATGATAGTTAACTGCAAGATTCTTGCGCAAGACCAAGACCAAGACCGCCTCGGTCTCGTCTTGGTCTTGCGTTTGGGCAACACTAGCCGCAAGTTAGTAGCGCAGTACATGCCTACGCAAAGCACGTTTTTGCAGTAACTCCACCACGGAATCACCAGAAACTAAATTTTACCGGCTGCCCCAAAGTTAACACATCTTACGGTATTAGTTAAGCAACTAAATTTGGGATGTCTTGATTGAAATAAAATTCAAATCTAAAGTAATATACTCGTGCGGCTGCTCAAGAAAATTATTGTTTTTTTTTTGGGGGGGGGGAGAGGGGAAGAAAAAGAGCAGGGGGCTCTGTCTAAAAACCTATATGAACAGATTTTATTTATTCATTTTTAAATATTTTTTTATCTACCTTAGCTTGAAGTAGTAATACGAATTAAACAAAATTGAAGTCGAGTAGTCAAAACGTGGACTTTCATTAACTGCTCTAAATAACACAAGCTATTAAATAATTGAAGGCCCGGAAGTTCGGGTTCAAAGGAAAGAACAACCGGAACTGAGTGATTATTTAATGGGTGTTGCCAACCTTAGACCGAAGCACCTCGCTAGCGGTCGCGGCCACAACCTTCCCGATCGGCTCTCTATTATGCCACAGCCAGATATATCATTAAGTATAATTACTTTCTCTATTCGGCCTCATTACACTGGAACAGTCTAGACAAAACGGACGTTTGAAATCGCTACTGGTCGAAGTTAGTTTCGTAAAAATAACATGTTTAATCTATATGATATATAATTAAAATATATAGTTTTATAAAGATGTTTTTACTATAATTAAGTAAAATTGTGATATTTAATAATATATATTAGAGGAATAGCTATATCAGTTTAATAGCAACAAATATCAATTAAACTAATCAATGGTAATCAATTAGAATAATGGTTGCGTTGCTGTTCTTAACAGTACTTAAGCTCCATTTTTTTTTAGGTTTTGGGAGACTTTGAATTAGACTTTTTAACCAGATTATTTTATACAAAAACCATATCAAATTTATAGAAGAAAATATCAGTTTTAATTTGAGAAGACAGTCAAGACACAATCAGAATCACTCAAAACTTTGAATATTTGAAGCAAACATAACTTGAAGTAACATAATATACCATAGTGAATATATTATTTAAAATTATAGTGTATACTGATTCGCATTAAATTATTACACCCATCGATATGCATTGAAAAAATATTTATATTAATGATAGGTACAATCCAAATATTTTATTTTTTCAATAAAGAAAAATTAATTTATTTACTATCTTTATTTTTTGTTTATTTACAACTAGTGAATGTAATCATAATCAAAGCATGGAGTTGGTCTGTAATTAGCATCATATCCAACGATAATTTTTCCATATTTTTTAATATTTAATTTGAAATATTTAATAGAGGCATTAAAAAAAAAAATTATTGAGGTAAAATTTTCTAGAGGTCCGAGCTTTTAGGAAATTTTGATTAAATTATATTAGCTTACACAAAAGAAGGGAAGAACGTTTTATACGTGTTGTTAATACCATCCTGG